ATTAATACTGTCTGTTTAATTACCAAATATTAGTTACACAATCTATCTACAAACACTTTTAAGAAAATGCTTAAACTAAACAGGACATTTCCCTTAACAAAAAGATTTTAAAATTTATTGAAAGACAACAAAAATACTTTAAGAACGGCTTAAGACCCCCTTACAAAAGCCATCCCTGAATTTAAACCCCCTTTTGATGTTCTTACACGGGATCCTATTATTGTTGCAACTGTTTACAAAGCGAAAAAGTTGCGGGCGAAATAAATTGTGTCTCGATAATAGAAGTTGAAAAATTGAGAAAATGGGAAAACCCAACACGTGTCGAATCGCAAAATTGCAAACTGTGAAAATTCGCCCGCCCAGAAATCCTTGACAACCCGAAACGGGGGCCTAGATAAAAAGAGGAAAACGATGTAAAGTTCGCCATGCCGGTCCGAAGTTTTCTTTACGCAATCATCATAAATTAACGACTCTCAACAAGTGGCAACAGAAATTGTGGAAAATGTGGGAAAAATTGAGAAAGAGTGCAAAAAAAAACTGAGAAGGTGAAACTTTTCCCAGAGCAGAGTAGGTGGAAAAGCGTGGAAATCTCGCCTGGCTGGTTCACTGTTCCGAATCCTTTTCCCAAGTTATCTACTCTAAATGCCATGCTCTTTATGTCCATATATATATCTGATCCTTACAAGTGCCAACAATTTTGTTTAACCAATTGTGGATTAGTCAAAAATTCACAATGCCCCAAGGCAGCAAAGCACTTAGAAAAACTGGTTCCAAAATTGATCCTTAATACTTTGTTATATATTGAACATATTGAAAAACAGTGGAATACTCATAGTATAAGTATGGATTTTACCATAATAAAGAGAATTTTTTTATTGCATTTTTGGAGTAGAGCATACGGTTTTATTAACTAAAGTTCTTAAACTTCTGAATTCTTTGTAGAAAAGTTTGTTGAAAAAACTTAAAATTAAGATCAATACAGTGCATTTTTGTTCAAATGAATTTGGTTTAAACCATATTCCACACCAAATTGGATTAGAAGTTAAACATTTAGTTGCTTTCAATTATGGTCTGTGTAAAATTCACTTTCAATTAGCAGGACAGCAGCTTGTCCTCGTCGGCAGTTGCAGAGCAAAATTATGTTCATGCATATTTAAATAACTTAATGAATTTTATAAAACTCGACGTTGTCTGTTCGAGTTTGACGAGTTGCAGAATGTTTGAGGGCCGTGGGAAAAAGGGGCGAAAAGTGGGTGGAATTGTGGGTGGGCACAATGCGCCTGTTGCTGTGGCGATGAGGTAATTGAGGAAGCATGTACTCCACTTTGGGGAGTCCCTGGTGGCGAAAGTAATACAAGTGAAAGGCGGGCGGGAAAATGGGAAATAGTTCAGCTGGAGTGGGGGTGGGGGGGGCGGTTGTGAGCAATTTGGCACTCTTACGTCCTTACATCCTTCGCTGATTTTTGGAAACAATCCACGAATGGCACACAATTAAACGCGGGCAAAATGTAGTCTAATTTTCAGGAGCTCTCGCAGGGAAAAGCAATTTTTGTGGTTAAGTTTTCCCGCTGATTTTCCACGACCGACTTACAATTAAAGTGAACCGAAGGTACAAAACTATTTTCAGCCAAAGACGTGACCGGTGTTTGTTATAAATTGTATTAAACTTGTTCATGAATACACTTTAAGGATCTCAAAAAATATTTAAAAAGTAGAATATATTGCTTAAGTTATTGATGTGAATTTGGAATTGAAAAAAATTACAATTTACAAATTTACCAGCTTCAGTAATCTTACCTTATTTTTTCAATTTATTATTTAGGAATAAAATCTTAATGATGTATAATGTATATTAAAAATTATAATTTATAGTTTGTAAATAACTTATGTTACCTTTAAAAAACTTAGGATGCATTGCTGAAACGTTTTAAAGCTGGATAAAGGAAACGTTGAAAACAAACAACAGACAGGAATGGGAAGCATGTGACATTTAACCGTGAAAAGAGCTGAGGGAAAGCGAGGGAAATTCTTTTAACGGGGAAAAGCCCACAAAGAATGAGACGAAGCCGTCCTTTGAGAAAAGCCCATCGTAGACGGAGGAAAACTGGGAGGGGATGAGGAAAAGCCGAAACATGATGACTTGCCCCTCGGAAACTTCAATCAACTAGAGATTTCCCTCAGAAATGACTAACATTTCCCACAATTTCCCACCATTGGGAGTCACATTATTCAGCACGACTAGAAGTCAGTCGATCCAAAATGCAATCAATCTGCGTATACAAATTTGCATGAAAAGTCTTCCAAAATAATTCCCATAAGATTAAATAATATCATATTTTCTATGGCATTCATTTGACATTTTTAAGCGTTAATAAGCATATATTCTTAATAGGTATATTAATTTGTTTTTTTTAATTAAAAACAAATTGAATGCAATATTTTCTATCTTTTCATTATTGAATATTTATAGTGTGCCAAAACAGTGCTTTTAAAACTGCTTTTATTAACACTCAAAATTTAATCAATTTTAAAATAATGACCCCATCACCCACTGTCAGAAATTAAAAACGAATTGTTTCTTTTAATCGGCGATGTCGGGGAATTGCGCCGAGCAATTGGTTGTGACTGCACCCCCGCTTAACCCCCCCTTAACCCCCGCCTAACCCATGATATCCCCAGAGAAGCCCGTAAAGATATGCAACAGTTAACAGTCCGACATCTAATTTAATTGGCTTAGCCTGAGCTGCGGGCTTTCGGCTTAGAGCTCCTCCACTTTACAGCGCTGACAGCCGACTTGGGGCATTAACCTCCTGATGGCCGAGGGGGTTACCATGCGACCGGGTCGCCGAAAGCGTCGTAAAGCGCTGCGTATCAAATTATCGTTAGATTTATTGCCCGCCAGCGAGGCAGTTGCTCCCATTTTACATTTTTATGGGAGCAACCGAACAACAGAGTTGTTAAACCAAAATTATGGGAGGAGTGTCCGAATGACAGTTGGATTGCATGGCTCTCGATTTATGCGTTCTTCGCTTCGTATTTATCGCACAGAATACTGTTACTATATAATATTTATATATGTGCATCCGACAGCTAACATAGCTAAAAAATGTTTACATTTTTTGTACAATTTTATGAAAAACATATAAGCATAAAATTGTTCTTATAAAATATAAACATTAATATGGCAAAAACTTTCTAATGCCATCAAAATACATTGTGAAGACACAAAATGTCAGCATAAACACAAGTTAATTGCATGCAGTGAAATATGCATTTGACTAGTCCTAAATTGATTTGCAAAAACATTGTTCTAATAATGTTGACTTTAAATATTCTTGATTTTGATCGAAAGTTAAAAATTAAGACCAGCAAATGATACATTATAATTCACAGTTTAATTTTCCTTTAGCTGTTACATAGCAGTGAAAATTGATTTTATTTGATGTTTTGTGCCAGTGATATGTGTGGTATGTGCCAAGATTCTATCGGCTGTTGGCCATTTGCAGGCGATGCCATTGCAGTTTTCAATTATGCATGCGTTTCGTCAGGTGGCGCCCTGAATCACTCGGCACGCGTCATGAATTTTTCATGATCTGGGCAACGCCTCCTGCTGCATTTTTCTGAATTTCCCCAACACCCTCGGCACTGGCACATACGTTTAGTTGGATGGTACGGATGATTGCATCGGCATTATGCAGCTCTTTCATCCAGCATTGAAGCCAATCAGTCAGGAGGAGATGGGCGTAATCGCCGGGGGGCGTGGCAGGTGCACCTGGATGATTACCAAAACGCTGACGGAGCTCCGACAATTGTTAGAGGAAATGGGAGAGAATGCAGCGGTGCGGCATAAATATTAAGTATACGACGTGTGGACTGCATTCATTGTCTTCTCCATTATCGAAAGTGACAATGGAAATGCTGTAGCTGGCATGACAGATATTAAAGCACCCACTCTTTTTTCAGTTCGTCTTTCCCCTCTAAAAATCCAAGACATTCAATTGTACTTTTAATCCTTTATCAATCAGTTAAGGCTTCAATTCATTTGTAATAACCAAATATATTCACATACAGATGACAAAGACAAAATTAAGCCAAGTTTAATTTCATAAATAATTAGTGAATCAAATTGCATAATTTGTATAATTAATTTTGATGAAGTGGAAAATCAAAATGCAAATAAGTTTTAGTTTGATTTAATTAGGAACGGTATCTGTAAATTTTTTATTTATGCTGAATAATTATAGATGAAATTAAACGGTAGAAATTCACTTCTCATTTGAAAAAATAATTTATATTTAAATGTATCTTCGGTGGGCTATTGCTTATTTTGTTTTAATCTTTAGAAAAACATTGCTTTTAGTGTTTATTTAAGCAAGTCTCTTTAATGGCACATATTTTTGCAAGCCTAAAAATCAAACGTACCTTTGAATCAAATAATAAAGAAACTATTGTTGTTCAATTTTTAATAACATGAATAGGACTACTAGCTTAACTACCGCGTTGTGTTAATTGGTTAAATCTTCTTTCTGATTTATGTTTTATAGCCATTTAGTTAGTTACGAAATACATATACGTTTTATTGCCACTTTTATATGCGGTTGCTAAATCCTAGTTTTGATTTGTGGTCACAAAAACTAGGCCCCCAAATCCCTATCAAACGTCGAAGTAATGACTATGCCGAGCGTGTGTTGGCATAAGCCGGAGGCATTGGCACGATTAACCCACGCGTGATGACAAAAGTCCACAAAACTAAGACGAAATGGGACAAAGACACTCGGGGGCCTCATAAAAACGCCATATGCGAAGTGGAAATCTTTGTTGCAATAATACGTACGTACTGAACAGGGGCAAATAGAGTGAAATGGAATGTAAGATTCATGTTAACGGCTTTCGGCATATCAAACTATGCAAAGTGTTTTGCGCCGCACAAGAGGCCGCACTGCCTAATAAATAATAAATCGAGAAGGGATCGCAAGGAAGGGCGGATGACAATCGCTCACCTCCGAGAAGGCCAGACAACGCCTATCCTTCTTGCCTTTCGCAAATGTTCCTTTTTCAAATAATCGGCCGAAAGTTTGGCGCACTTTCCGTACCGGGCCAACGGGGCGTATGAGCGACGGCGAGGCTCGAATATCAGAAGTCAGATATCAAGTAGCCGACAGCGGAGGCGACCTGCCACAAGGCGACACAAAAGCGAACTGAGGCGCCCCATCCGGCGACTGGTGGCCGCCACAGCCACATGGAAATGATGCTGCCCGCACGAAGCCATCAACTTCGGCTCCGAACCCTCGGATTCCCGAGTAGCCGCTTAAGAGGACAGGGAGGGTGGAGGGGTTGGGGAAGGACACAGTCGCGGCAGGATATCCCCCGGTTTGGGCACACATTCGATGGCGGAATATTCGAGCAACACCTACAAAATACAGATAAATTGAATTGTAAACATTATGAATCTTTACCTGCTTTCGTTTAGACCTTAAGTAAGTAAGTAAGTTTTGTTAAATCAATTATAAAATTAAAAATCAATAACCTAGCGTGCTAAATTATTATTAAGTTAAGGCTTTTTAAAAGAAAAACTCTAAGCAAAGTTAAAAAAAACAAAATATTTATAAATATATATCTTTTTGGATCGATTCAATACTCAGAGATATTTAAGGAATATATTTAAAATATATATTTGAAATGAAAAAAAACGAAATAATTGAAATAAATGACCTTTAGGTCTAAGCAAAGGTTTAACTTCCGGCACAGTGAATTCCCCTGGAATTTGTCCAACTTTTCCCGGTACCTCTGTTATTAGGCGTAAACTTGAGGCCTGTCTGCGGACCAAGTTGACACCTGACCACGGGTCTGTCCCGGCAAAGTACGCCTAATTACCCCAGTGTCCGTCTGATTCGGTGGCACTTGGCGGCACGTTGGCCTCGTCCTTGTGGTCCTTTGTCCCCCGAAAGGCCACCACTTAGACACTTTTGCCATTGTTCGTTATCAGTGGACACAAAGTCAACGTTCAGCGCCAGGTGAACTCAATTTGCACCTGGACCAGCCAGCCGAACTTGTGCATATAAGATTTTTATGTACATGCACTGAGAGAATAACCATTTCGGAAAAAACATTTAGAATTGTTTACAAATTTAGAATTCCTTTCATGTTTATAAGAGAAATTTAAGTTATATTCTAGATAAAGATTTATTAATAGTTAGATTGTTAAATCGATATGTTCAAGTTTAACATTATAAATAAGTTAGATAAACAAAATAAGGAATTGTATTATAGATTAATATCATTTTAATTTTATAATTACTATGGCAGTTTTTTCTGTGCTTATACAAAACTCGTATATGCGAAAAGAGTTTTAGGCTAACACCAGAATTATCTCTTTAAATAATACGATTTTTAAATTTTAGTGGCAGAAACAGATTGTTAGTCTTTTTTGTTTCTATTTGTTGATATTTCAGTCGCTCTTCCGTTGCTCCGTACACTTTCTCGCCTCTTGGCGTTGATTTGGAGTGCTGCTTATGCATGCAACAGGGCGTATGAGTGCTGGCTAATTGGTTCGAGATGGCAGCGCAGGTCACAGGTCACACAGCAACAAGTGCGGCTCAAACTGCTAAGAGCAATGCGGTTTTGGATGCATTGGTTCACCGGTATTTTCAAGAGGAAGATTAAGTTGCAAAGAAAACACCAATAGCTATATTAAATATTTATATGAAAACTTTTATGAAATATGACTTGTAAATACAATATGACTTGGTATACAATAAAATTTAAATATATTTGCGTTCCTAGTTTAGTGAAACGCAAAATTTTTCTTAACTTTATTAAATTATTTCATTTGTATTATTATTTTTTTAATTACAAACAGTTTGATATTCACTGTGTCGTGATGCTTCCTTCGAGTTCTACTCAAACTGTTACAGTTTAAGTATGTTTTTAAGTAGGTCAGCCTGGCTAACCAAATTTGATTTACCATTAGTTGTGAGTTTTTCTTTTGAAAAAATTTAAACTCGTTACCCGTTATACGGTTGTTTTTAGTTCATAAACATAATGTTAATTTTAAAAATAGTTCCTTGCTTATTGGTTTTAGACTTAATTTGAATTAAACCTGTTTGTCCCGCGGCTTAAATTCAATCTAATAAGTGCATGAGTATATTTTTAAAGGGCAAACGGGCTCTTAAATAGTTTGAGAATGCCCCCATCAGTTGCAATTTCTCCCATCGCTCCCAAAGTTTTGAACGCACTGCCTGACAATTCAATTGAAATGCAGCTGGTCGCTCGCTTTTTGCTCGACTTTGCTTGTTTTGTATTTATTTATTGTTTTCGGTCGCATTTCGGCGACACTTCGCATGGCTTGTTGCGCTATTGCCAAAAACGATAAAGCGGCAAAAGCAAAACATTTAATTGGCGGCTGCCCCCTATCCATCTCACTTTTTTTTTGTCGGGTAACTTTCTTTCCGCAAAAAAAGCGAAATAAAAAGCGGACACCCACACTCCCGCTGGCATACAAATGAAGAGTAATAGTCGGAGCCCCCTCGAAAAACCCCGCCCCTGCCGCACTGCTTATGCAAAGTTTTAACCGAATAAATAAAATCCAACGGACGGCACACAAAACAAAAGACATTTGCGGCTGATGTGAAAAATAAAAGCAATTAAAAATCATAAATAAATATTGTAATAATTGTCATATAATCGCCGCCGAAAAAGGTAGACAAAAAAAACATAATTAAATAATTTCGGTGGCTCTTGGCTAGTGGCATTTAAGTGTTATATAATATCGCCCGATTATGGGGGTTATTGTTTTTCACGGCCCTAATGGCTACCTTTCTTTGTATTTCTTTCTCTGGGGCATTTTTTGTTACCATTTTTTGCCGCGCTTCGCTTACTAATTTAGCTATTGCAACATTTTGGGCCAACGTTAAATGCTGTGAAAATCCAACACTTTTGTGTCGAAGTGCCAGCGTGGGAGAATTCGCATTTAACCCATTTTCAGTTCGGATTACAAATTTCAAAGTTTAGTTTTGTACTTTGTGTAGATTTAAGCAAACTGAAAATGTTATTTCTGTATAAAAATGTATGCCCAAAAAACTTATTAATTAAATAAACAAACTGCCAGTAAAACAATGGTTAAATTATTTATTATTTATTTACAAGTCAACATTTAAATCCAATGGTAAAAACTAGTTACATTATACATTCGTGTGTTAGTTTTAGATGGTCGCTCTTAACTTTTTACTCCATTGCAAAATGGTAATGAAGAGTTAAGAGCAATTGACTCAGTATCTTAGTTACATTATGTGTTATTTATATATTTTGATTATGGTACTATACTGCTAAAAGATGCCTGGGAGCTTATTGTTGCTGTGCTCGCGGGACTACGTTTGCGGGATCTTCGAACTGTTACATCCGACTGCCGCAACCGCCGTATTGCCAACTCGTAGTTGTTAACGTTAATGCAGATGGCTATATAGGCCACCAGCTTGGGGGCCCTTAGATCGCTTGCCAATTGACTTGCCTTGCCCAGGGATTCCTTTAGCCTCTCGAATCGATTGAGCACGGCGTGTACTTGGCATCCCAGGAATATGCTGTTGAACTGCCAAACCAAACAGTTGCATTTGCGTGCCTCTGGGGGTTGAAGGGGGTTAACGGATGCGTCAATGGGTTAAGATCAACCCACCGTTGAAGGCCTTTCGGGCCAGCACCAGGACCTTGTCGAAGCGCGACTCCTTGAAGTGGCAGCGCGCGATCTCGAAAAACAGGTACGATCGCTCGATTGGGTAGCGGGAGTGGCGCAGCCGATTCTCCAGGTGCTCCAGCTTCTGGCTGCAAGAGAAAAATATAAAAACCGATTAAGCTTCAACCAAAAAATATGTTTTTGCCATAAGTTCAGTCCTAATTTAAAAAAAAACGTTCTTTTTCGCCCAAAAATATCACTATTTTGGTCATAACATTACAAATAATGGTCCAAAAATGGAATGTCATACCTCGTTTAGCTCGTATTTAAATTCCAAATCATCTGGCATTTAAACCTGGAAATTTTTTTTTTTGACCCAATTTCCCAAAAAAATATGATGTAACCCCTTATAAAAAAGGCGGAAATTGGGAAAAAAAAAATTTTGTTGGAAAGTGATAGAGATTGTTAGCTGTGGTCATTAGCTGCATAAAACAGTTACTCTTTTGGTTTTGCGACTTATTTTGGCCAAATTACAGCCAAAACACTTAAAAAAACGTGTTTTTGCATTAAAAAAAGAAATTCTGAATTTTCACCATAAAAATATCAGTATTTTGGCCATAACATTACAAATAATGGTCCAAAAATGGAATGTCATACCTCGTTGAGCTCGTATTTAAATTCCAAATCATCTGGCATTTAAACCTGGAAAATTTTTTTTTTGACCCAATTTCCCAAAAAAATATGATGTAACCCCTTATAAAAAAGGCGAAAAAATGAGAAAAAAAAAATTTGGTTGGAATGTGATAGGGATTGTTAGATTAGGTCATTAGCTCCATAAAACAGTTACTCTTTTGGCTTTGCGACTTATTTTGGCCAAGTTACAACAAAAACACTCTTAAAAAATCGAGTTTTTGCCAGAAGTACCTTAAAAACTGATTAATGAAAATATATGGAGTGGGTCAAGCTCACTAACTTAATACGTCTGTGCCGCTCCTCCTCCCGATCGATCTCCAGGTAGATGTTGGACCCCCCGAAGCTGACCGTCATGGCTCGCACCTTCTCTGGCCGGAGTAGGTACAGTATGTGTCGGTTATAGGGCTCCAGGAAGTCGACGTTGGCGGGAACGGCACAGCGGTCGCAGTGGGCCAAGGCCAGCGTGTTGTAGACGTCGTTGAGGAACTCCCACTTCCAGGGCAGCGTGCGATGCGTCTTCACCTCGAAGTAGTCGGACATGGTCTGCTCCACGTAGTCGGACAGCTTATCCACATCCCCCTCCCTCCGGCGCCTGTGCATCTCTTGCAGCATCTTCAGGCAGTCGCGGCGTGTCTGGTACTGGGCGTGGAACAGGTGCATCTCCCGGTTCCGCCGCCGCTCCTGCTCCCCAATCCGCCCGTGCCGCTGCCTCACGTACCGCCGGTTGTACAGCGGATTCCGGGCATGCACCATTTTCTAATTTATGGAATGTGGTGGTTCATTGGAAAATACGATAACATACAATTCAAATGTATTCCAAAATTATGTTTTAAATATTTTAATAAATATTTTACAAAGTAATAAAATTTGTTTGTGGGTAGATTAAAATACATCGGAATTTTATTTTAAAGATAAATGGTAATAATTAGGAGTAACATACGTTTTTTTAACTTATTCTTTTTAAATACCTCAATAACAAAAGATAAATAAATAAATAAAATAATAAATAAATAAATAAAAATTTACTGATCTTTTGGCAGCATATTTACTTTGTAATCTGGCCTTTTCAGAAACGTAACTTCTCTTGTAAATGATTTAATTTAGGACCCAACAAATTTAGCAAGACTTACCATGAACCGCCGGACAATTGTGTACTGCTCCTCGCTCAGTTGGCGTCCGGGGGGCGTGGTACTCAGCCTCAGGGGATCGAGGAAGTTGCGGTCGCTGCGCAGCCGACGTAGAAGCGCAACGTCGACGGCGCTGCGGCCCATGCAGTTGTAGTTGTACAGGCGTTCGCTCAACCGCCGATGGGCCCTCTCCAGCGGGGTCAACCGCTCCGGCTCCTTGACGAGGACGCTCTGCACGTCGCACTGCTGCCGGTCGCGCAGCTCCTTCCGCAGGAGGCGTGGCACATGGGCGGCCTGCTCCTTCTGCCGGCGGCTGACCTCCTCAAGGACGCCACGGTGCTGCTGCATGAAGGGTACCAGCGATTCGCCCAAGGTGTCCTCGAAAACGCCGAGGGTCTACAGGCAGAACACAGGAAACGTAATCATTAATCATTTATTATACCTGTTCCTAATGGTGAATACAACTTTATTATTATAAATAACAAGAACTCAAGCATTAAAACATTTTTAAAAATTCATATTTTTCTTTTATTCTAGGGGTTTTAAGTTGGCTCTAAGTTGTTGGTAGCTAAAGGGATTGACTGATTTATGACCACAACAAAAAAAACAATCAATCCGTTCTTAAAATGTGTAAATTGATGTGCAACATATACATGGTCGAAATAAGCTTTCCCCTTTAAAAATTATGAAGCTTATGCTTTTTGATGGAAAACTTCTCTGGTAAATTAATTGTAAATGATAGTAATTTTTTAAATAATTGAAATGTAATTCGTTAATAAATGGAAGTGTGCACTCACCTTCTGCTCAATCAACCCAAAGGGGCCGTGGGTGAACTGTGCCCTGAAGGGACGCCCCTCCATGTAAAGTGTGGTGAGGGCGCTCTCGAATTCGTTGGCGTCCACGAGGGCTTCGCACTTCTCGGCTATGATCTCGGCGGCACCCAGGACGCAGGACTGCCGCTGGTGGCGGACCACCTCCATAGCCCGCTGTGCCCGCTGGACGTCCAGGAGGGCCAGTTCCGGACGGGCCAGCGTGCGCTGGCAGCGACTCCTCAGGAACAAGGACTTGTAGTCCTCGGGGCAGACGCCCGCCTCCGCCTCCAAGCAGCTGTGAAGGGGGGCTAGGGCAGACTTGCGGGGCAGGAGGCAGGTGGAGGGGTAGACCGAAGTGGGGGTGTGTGTTCCGGGGCATCCCGTCTCCTCCTCCTTGCAGACGGTCACCGCCCGCCCGAAGCTCTCCAGCGCCGTGCGATCCAGCAGGCGGCGGGTGTAGTAGACGCCCCAGTCCCGGTAGATCTGCGACTGGATGCAGGAGCGCCACTCCACCCGCTGCCAGGGGCGGAGCTGCGGGAGCAGGACGCGCACGCCCCCACTGTTCAGCCCGCTCGACCAGGACATGCTTTGCTTTTACTGGTAATTTCGAGGACTCGCTAATTTTGGCTAACTCAAAATTTGGCAAGGAACGAACCGAAATCGGTACACAATGGAAACTCAACTAATGGAGCAAAGCCAAGATGATCGCTTTAATTTTGCACATTCATTTAATATAAATCCACTAAGACCACTTACAATAGATTTAATTCCAATTACTTTCTCTCACAAATTATGTCTTCTTCTGATTTAATTTAAATAATGACTTTTCTTCTTACTAAAGATATGGAAATTCAAACTATTCTGAAAAGTGTTAAATAAAAAGAAAGTTATCTAACCAATGATAACAAGCTGCTTTAAACTTCTGCTTCGAAAAGTGCTATTTTCATTTGGCTTCAGGTTATTTTAAGTAGAAATTGCTAGGTTTGAAATACCTAAAATTATCCCATTAATTTTAACCAGTCTATAGTTCAACTTAATCCAACTATAGTTTCACTTTGGGTTAATTTTCCCAATGGCATTGCCCAAAGGCCGCTCTTTTACTAGCTTCGAAAAAACTATCAGTTAAAAAAAAACTTCCGTAGTTAAATTACAATTATCATTTATTTCGCTTGAGTTTGGCTTTGAGTTGGTTTCAATAAATACAATAAATACGTATTAATTAACAGGCTTCAACGTTTAGCATTAACAATTCATTAACAATTACGAATTACGAATTAAAGTAAATTAAGTTAAGGAGGGGTTAATGGATTTTTCTCAGGGGGCGTGCCAGGGGGCGGCGCAGGCGGCGGGTGCGCAGACGTCGACGTCGGGACAACGACTTCGCTGCCGGCGTCGCCTTTTCATTTTCATTTGCATTTGCATATGTATTTTCAAAGCCATAGCCATATTGCATTTCATCGATTTTCACAGCGCTTTCTTCGGGTTTTGCTGCTACGGCGGATTCTTCTGCAGCCTCTTCTTCGACTTCGTCTTCGTCTTCCTCCTCGGCATCGTCCTCTCCCTCCTCCTCCTCCTCCTCTGCCCCTTCCCCTTCCACTCCTTCTTCATTATCATCTTCTGCTGCCTCTTCCCCTTCCTCTTCTTCAGCTGCCGTGTCGTCGGTGGACTCTGGCTTGACCTTTTCTTCATGACCCGTCTTCACCTCTTTCTCCGGCTCTTTCTCCGACTCTTTTTCCCCCTTCTTCACTCCCTCTTCCGCCTCCGCCTCCTCCTCCTTTTCCTTTTCGCCTTTTACCACCTGGCTCGGGGGTTCCTTCACCTGGTTTTTTTTCTCCACCTCATCATCATCATCGTCCACGTTTATCTCATTATCGCTATCGTTTTCCATTTCGACAGCCAGTGTTGTCGTCTCTTCTTCTGCTTCTCCTTCCTCGTCTTCTGCCTCCTCTTCTTCGGCTGTCTCCTCCTCTTTCTCCGCCTCTTCCCCTGTCTTCTCATCCCCTTCTTCTACTGTCTTCTCCCCATTGTTTGTGTCATCAATAACAACGATGTTTGGCTTGTTAAATGTCGCGGTTGTTGTTGGTATTTTAGTTGTGGTCGGTATTTTGGTTGTTGTTGGTATTTTAGTTGTTATCGGTAGTTTTGTTGTAGTTGTAGTTGTTGTTGTGGGCGCTTCAGTGGCTTTTATTGAATTGGTAATTGTTTCAATTACCTGACTTGGCCTCGGGCCACTCTCGCCATAGCCATAACCATTGTCATTGTCAGGTGTCTCCTGCTCTTTCTCCGCCCCTATTGCCGTCTCTTTCGCCTCTTCTGCTGGCATTTCTTCGGCCACTTCTTCGAGAGGTGTTTCTTCTGCCTGATCGCTGGCCATTAGCATTTCACTTTCGATTGGCAGGGGCTCCATCTCTCCGGTTTCCTCGTCCTCTTGGTGATCTTCACTTTCCAGTTGGTACCCGTTATCATTCTCCTCCTCTTCTTCTTTCTGCTGATCCTCGACAAGATAATCTTCTGAAGGATGCACTTCGCTTGGGGAATTCTGGGGTGGATAGCCCATCGGTTGATCCTCTTCCAAAGGCTCCTTGTTAGGAGGTTGTACATTTTCAGGTTGATTCTCCAGTGGTTGATAGCCCTCATTTAATGGTTCGATTTGACCAAGTGGTTGATAGCCTTGATCTTCATTTAGTTGATCCTCCTCCTTTTCCATTTGCTTTAGTGGTTCAATCAGAGTTTGATTCTTCTGAGGTTGATAGCCTAGAGGCTTATAATCCTGTGGCTTGTCTTCATTTGTTTGATCTTCCAGCTTTAATTGATCCACTATGAGTTGATCGATCAGTGGCTGATTCTTCTGAGGCTCAGTCTTTTGCACTTGATTATTCAGCGGTTGATTTAGAGATGGATAACCCAATGCTTGATCCTCTTCCATTTGATCGCTGATCAGTGCTGAATTCTTCTCTGGCTCCTCCCCCTTGACCTCCTCCTGTGAGGGATACTCCTCCGGCTGATCCTCCAGCTCCGCATACTCGTACTCCTCCGGATCGTCGCTCTGGCCAGCTCCAACTGGCAACACGGGTTGCCCGTTCTTGTCCACATACTGCAGCCCGTCCAGGCCCATCTTCATGCACTGGAAGTGCATCTCGAAGAGATCGGTGGTGGCCAGTCGCACCACAAAGTCCATGCACATGCTCAGGTTGTTGCCCATCAGGGTGACATCGGTCATTTGGACGCACATGGCCATCGGCACGCCCATCATGACGGGAATGCAGAAGGGCGCCGGATTCCTCACCGAGATGCCATACTTCGAGGAGGGTCTGCCGTTCAGGTAGACCTCCAGTTGGGCCTCCTCCAGTCGGGGCACGAAGCTCACGTTGGCGCACACTGCAAGTAAGGGGCAAAATGGAAAGAAAACGCTGAATAAAAATTTACAGACAGACACAACAATGAAACGATTCCATTCAATGAATGAAAGTGGCGGGTGGCAAACTGTCGGCGGATCCCAGGCGGATGAGGGGGTGGCCACCGCTGGAAGCGCCAACAATTTGTGGCATTTTGATTGGCAAATGCTGGCATGTCACGAAGCGAAGCGAAATGGAAATGGAAACCAGCGATCGCATTGTAGTCTCCGGCATGCGCCGCCAACTCACGGCCAAGATCGATTTCTTGGCCAAGGAAATCGGACTGGAATCCAGACCGAATCCCAGCCAGAGCCATGGCCACCACCCGCAGGCCAGGAGCCACGATTCCGACCGGGCTAAGTGATCGCTGCGATCCTAATCAATGGATAACCACATGGCCGTCAGGTTATTTCGCAGGGGCATACTAAACTAGCGCTCATTACTGCATATTAAGATATTAAGGCTAAACAGCATACTGAAAAAAATAAACTTCAAATCACTTTCAAATATCCTCTTTGATACACAATTAATAACAGGGATTGCAAAGCTATACCAAGGTATAAATTATTTAAATCCAAGTCGTTTGCAATGCGCATCCCTTAACCTATTAAAACTAAATAATTTCAGACAAGAAAGAAATAAATTGATATTCAAGGAACATGAGGTAGAAGTCAGATAACTTGTGTGTTTTAAAATTGTATCTTTAATTTAATTTTTGCTTTGAAAATATGAAATTAAAATAATTACCAAAAAGTATATTTAGACAGATGACTCAGGCTCAGTTCGTCAATAGTAACTACTTTTAAAAATTCTCATAGATAACATTTTCCCCTTATCATTTAAACTTATATTAAAAATAAAAATTAAAAAAAAAATTCACATAAAATTCAGCCTACGAAATATGGAGTTTAGTCCTGGTAACGGAAACTACAAATGTGATTTTAAATTGCCCCTTTCCCAAATTTTACTTAAACGATAAATGAATGGTTTTCCTCACCTTTCTGGTCGAATCGGTACTGATCGACCTTGAGACCGGCGCAGCATCCGCAGGTGGGTCCGCTGCACTCGCAGGGCTGGCCAAAGGTGGACCAGATGGAGCCCTTCTCCGAGTACTTGACGCTGGCCAAGTTTCGACCCCGGGACACGCTGACCGTGGGTGGCAAATAGGGCTGGTGGGACTTCAGTTCGTAGAAGATCAGGCCGTTGCTATAGCTGCGCGAGGATATATCCGTGGGGCAGACGATCAGCACGAGGGCCAAACTTAAACCGATCCAGGGAATCATGGCCACAGATGGACGAGCTCCACAAACACACACTGAACAAAAAAGGCAGAAGATCACTGAACAAAAAATGCGGTTCGCGACTCAAGTATTTTGTGATTATCTTGAGAAATTTCCGGATCACTTCACGATCAACGGTAACGGTATAGCCGTGGCAATTCAAATGGCAATTCCACTATTTCAGTGGCTCTGGAGCAATGACAACCGCTCGCGATCGACGACAATTAAATATTAAAACGCTGAACACGACGAGCGTTAGCTTAAAAATGAAATGGAAACCGCCGGCGAAGAAGTTGGCAGCGGCAGCGGCAGTGGCAGCAACAGCGACGGCGACTGCGACTGCGACTGCGGCTGAGGCCAAAATGTTGCTGCTGGGAGCCACGACAGCAGCAGCAACACCAAACAGCAGCAACAGCAACATCCAACGGCAGCAGCAACCTCGTTAAATTGTCGCTCGTTGCGGCAGTTTGCTGTTTTTGCGAGCAAACCATTTTGTGCACTACCCCAAATTGGGGTACCACCAATAAATAGGTAGTTTTGGCCATTCGTTCTTACTCTAGGACTTTAAGTAACTGTCTTTTGAAGTTACCTTTTACATTGATTACTTAACTATTTTGCATATTTTTAATTAGTTTATCTAATTTTTATAACACTTATATTTTTCGCATTTTAGTTTTACTTTTACATTTGAAGAAAAGTCGTAAAAGGATCAACAAAAGTCAAACAAAATAAACTAAAATAAAATATAATTATGATATACTTTAATTGCTTAGTTTTATATTTAGAATGTTTATATTTATAAACAAAATAAGGTTCATTTAGAGTCAGAGTATTCTCTATTCCCCATCAAGACTACAACAATTTATTTCTTATCAGCAGCGGCAAATCGTCAGTTGCTGTTGTTGCTGCTGCAACATTGTTTTTGCTGTTGTTGTTACTGTTTCTGTTACTGTTAGTGCTGCTGTTCGTGTTATTGGAGTTTTTACTGTGGCCGCCGCTTTGTTTATTTGTCTTTTAAGCCGATGTTGCTGCTGTGTCTGCAGCAGTTGCTGTTGCAGTTGCTGCTGCCGCTTTGCTTTGTTGCGTGTGCCGAACGTTTTTTTTTTTCTTTTTTGGTTGACAGTGACAAGAAAATTGCGGCGATCGTGACTGGCTGGGAAAGCCAAAAACAACAAAACTCCACACTCCCTACCGCGTTTGTTGTTCTTGTTGTTGTTGTTACGCAAAGCACTTGGGGCAGGTCATGGCCTCATGGACAAACTCCCAGCGATTTTCGAACTGGAAACCATTGCCGTCGGGAGTTACGGTTATGGCCGCTGCTGTTGCCATAAACAAGACTGATTTATCGATCCAATTGTCGCATCTGCGACTGTCAGTGGGGGCTTTGTCACCCGTTCAATCCCCGCTCCACTTCATCCTTTCCCCAATTTGTCCTTTTCACTGGCATCAATGAGTGAATAAACCAATTCGCTTGGGCACCAGAAGTGGGTCTTTTTATTTAAATTATGAGTATATTGTGCAGCAAAAAATTAGCTACCGTTTAATACTTTTTTTAAAGCCTTAAACAATTTTATTCCCTCTCACCAATTTGTCTCTCTACTGAAATATTTTTTATACACTTATATTTTTGTAGTTTAAACATTTAGCACCTTTCATGGAAATTGCAATATTTTTATCATAAACTTATGATTTCAATGATCATGGTGTAAAAGAAATTAGGTCTTGCTTTGATAATTGTATAATTTAAATGCAGAGAATACGAATTACAATTTTAGTTTTTAAGCCATAATGGTGGGAAGAAATGATTAAGTCCGATCTAAGTTTCCATCTTTAACGATCTAATTTGTATTTAATGATTATGTTTGTTGAACCATTTGTATGGCTTTATGTTAGCAGAAATATAAATATTTTTGGTCTTTTCAAGCATCATATCATTTGGATCGCGGCGTATTTCGGTGGCTATTTTGGGTACCGGTCCCAATCGCCTTAGGGCCCCTACTATTGCATAATGTCTGGCCCAGACTCAGCCAATGGCCGGCGGACAAACGAACTGCAATCTCGTTAAGCGTTAAGGGGGACAGACCAGACACTTGCCAAGTTCGACGATTCAAAGGCGAGCGGTGAAATAAGGCAAAATGGAAATGAAAATGAAAATGGAAATAAAAGTGTCGTCGCCAACAATTAACACTAATAAGCTGGAGCGGCGGTGCAATGTGCTTTCGTTTATGTAATGGGCCGTCGCATCCGCCGACATCGTCATTATCAGCTGTCTCGCTTATTGGGCATTATTATTCATTACTGATAATATCAATTTGGCACGCCTGCGACTCTTTCTCTGTGACTTTGTGGCCCTTACGCAAAACTAATGCCCCAACTCAAATTAGTACCTGGGCTCTAAGTGAGTCACTGTTTGAAGAGGAGCTTCAAACGGTTTTTAGCTACTTCGATTCCTGGTTTACAACATCTCCAGAGCTTTTTTTTTAACAAACAGGACTAAAATAGCTTAGCCAAATATTAAAGCTCAGTTAGGACATAAGGTATGATTTCCTGCTAACATTTGTTTTAAATAAAACCAGTAACCCTTGGCAAACATAAATGTAAATATATACAAACTGCAAAGTTCAACAAACAACATTAAAGCTTTTAGTAAATTATGTATCTGTTCCTCTAGAGAAGCGGGTTTTTCAATTTCAAAAGTATCTGATGCTCTGGAAGTATTTCCTTTTTACCTCTGCAAAGTTGCTATATTATAAATGCATTAAAAACTTTCGCTTTTTTGCCCTTCCATGTGCAGAGTCATGTAGGGTTATGTAAAATGCAGAAATGCAACTAAAGGTTTTGCCTTGCATAAAATAATAAGCAAAGTGAAAGCTTAGCTTCCGGATCCAATTATACAAAAAGCATATACTACTATTAAAAAAAAAACGTATTGTAACCTAATGCTTGCTTGGAAGCAACAAAATCTTTACCCTAAATAAGAAACAAACACTTAAGTCAGAAAATTTACACCCAATCAAAATAAGAAAAAATATGTTGCAAAAATATCTTGCAAAACTACTGAACAATCGTGTGGCTCTTAAAGTGTGCCTGCAGGATAGCTAGATCTCAAACTGTAAAGTATCTTATCTTTGAACAGTGGCTGTTAAACTGTAGACGTATAGCTTATCAGCACAAAATTATGCAGTAGTTTATCAGAATCAAGCCGCGCACTTGAACAATTTCAAAAACAAATGTTAGTCCAAGATGTTTTTAAATATGGACAAATTATATTCGTTTAAGAATAAAGATATAAAATGTTAAGTTTACCACTCCGATAAAAGGATCGAGTAATAACACACTTTGATATATTTTTTTGTAATATTTTAATACATTTTCTTTGTTCTTGAATACATACAATGCTCTTGTTTTTGTTTTTTTTTTCTTCTTTTTGTTGTATAACACCGACAAAGCAACTGGTTTCGCTGTGGATAGATAGTTCACAAACGAGGCCGAATAATATGCCATCCAAGTACATGTACATTTGGGCTCCCCGGGGAACCCGTAAATATGTGTAGATATATAGGTAAATATATTATTTTCATATATGTAGATGAGTGCGTTAACGCGTATGTGTGTGTATGCATTCGTGTGTGAGTGTGTAAATATGCACAATGATACAAAAAGTTACATAATTGCATTATGCCTGACTTCTATATGTGTATCCAAAAGATATCGCTCACAAAAAATATCTTCGATAAAACATTTTGTTTCTTTTTATTATTTTTAGCTAAATATTCTTGTTGTACACACGCACATGTATATTTTTAAAGATGTAAATCGTATATAAGTATGTTTTTGTGTATATATAAGATATTCCTTGTTCGCTTCATTACTCTTGTATATATATAAATTTACTTGACAAAGTAAAAAAAAACATTTTGTTTTTATTTCTTGTTTGCTTGTTGTAAATGTTCACAAATACAGGCATTAGAGTACTACAAATTGGGTTTATCCATAAACGGGGAGTACATTTAATTCTAATTTCGTTATAATACATATATAAAGGGAAGTGCTGCCAGCTGCTTCAGAGTTTCGACTTCGAAAATGTTAACAAAAAAAATGAAAAGGAAGTGCCCTGCATGGTTACAAAATGGGGCCAAATAGCCATTTGTATAACCATGGTACACACCATTCGCAAGTCCTGCTCTTTCGACAGTTTCCCGGATAATTTAACAATGCTTTTTCGTTTTGCTTACAGACAACATCATTTCCCCTTAACTTGTTGGCTTGGCCGCTCTCTTGTGTGTGCTTAACCCCTTATCGACCTAGTTATATCCTATGTAACATATTATGCTTACAGAACTACCGAAAAAAAAACACTTGTATATTTGGATATTCAGTTATGAACTACATACGAAAAAAAAAACATATTCCCTAGGGCTAAGTTTCACATTCTTACGCGAAAATCAAGAACGAAAAGAGATAGTTGGCTGTTCAGGTTTGAGAAAAAGCTGACTAAGCACTAGGTTTCTCCAGAAACATTCGCTATATATACACCCCTGTAGCCGCTTCCATTTCCAAATCGGATTCAAACTAAATTTCTCCCAAAAGCTCGCAGATATTTCCACATCGGTTTGGAAAAGGTCGACTTAAATCTGATTAAATACGAAATTCACTAAATTTAACTTATTTTTCCAAGGTTTTTGGAAATCATAAAAAAAATGGTTTTCCAAAAATGAAATGAAAATCTTTAGCAATAGTTCAAGGCTTTTAACTACATGAATATTGTTGATAGTGCAATAAACGGCTTTGAAACAATAATCTTAGACAGTTTTAGGGAAAATTAAACTTTTGTAGATACTTTCAGCGAAAAGTGATAATATTAAGAAATTCTCTGATTTTAGAACAACGAAATAGGATTGTTCTTTTCAATAATATAATTTAGGAAATTAGGTAGACTTTTTCTAAGTCATCAATGCATTTAAAGGTAGACAAACCTTTATTATAGTTCTTTGATCAGTTGAATAACAGAAAACTTTAGATTTATGAAATTGTTATATATGAAAAAAAGTTTAGAAGTCGTTAGAATACTCGAGTTTCGGGACCAAGTGATTCTCCGAATTGGATTGGAAACGTGAACAGGGCCGCTAATAAATATATATTCGATATTCCCGCTTACAGCAAACGCAATAAAAAAAAAAATCTAGTGATTTATGTGGCCGCCGGGTTTTTGTGCCTAATCGTAAGCCTAAGAGCTACAAACTAAATTTCGAAAACAATGTACACGCGAATCTAGAACTCCTTGAGGCTGCCGCCGCGCTTCAGCTTGGTCAGTCGCTTCAGACTGGCACCCAACATGCTGCCTCCCGCTCCCTGTCCCGCCGATCTTCCTGCTCCACCATCGTTGCCGGCGCTGCGATCGCGCTGGATGAAGGATCCCCGAAAGCGGACCCGTCTACGGCCACGGCGCTGCATCTGCTGCAACTGCTGCTGCTGCTCGCCCACGCGGCGCCACAGCTCGGTGAGCGGCGGATGGTGCTGGTGGGGATGCTGCTGAAGGGTGCAGCAGCACACCAGCTCCTGCGATTATAACTTCTTCTCCCACACCACGATGTGGGCGTCATTGGAGTTGGCCGTCAGTGGCGAGCAGCTGGGGTTGCCCGCCTGCGTGGCCTGTGCGCTGGAGCCGGATGCACTGCCTCCGGTGCTGTTCTTATGGCTGGGCGATCCGCCCGCCCCATTGTACCACATCTGGCGCCAGTAGCCGCGTCCGCCCATCAGGGTGATCACGGTCCTCGGCCCGTCGGCGCTCTGCTGCTGCTGCTGCTTGGTGTTCTGCTTCTGCTTCCGCTTCAGCGTGGCCACCGCGGCGGCGGATTTGTCCAGTCCCGGGTTTCCTGTGCCCAGTCTGCTTGTCTCCTCCGGCTTGGCCGAGCTATTCAGCTGTTGCTGCTGTTGCTGTTGCTGCTGCTGCTGCTGCTGTTGCTGCTGCTGGTGGTGGTGTATGTCCGCCGTGGTCATCAGCCCGTTCTCGGATATGTTGCCCAGATCGCTGCCCGTGCCGGAGGTCTTGTGGCTGGCACTGCTGCTGTTGCGGGACACGGATCGGCCGCCAAAGTGCCGGATGCCCATGCTCTCCTCGCTGCCCGACGAGGTGTACAGGCTGGAGGACTTGGAGTCCACGGACCAGTTGGACAGGTCCAGTGACCTCGGCCGCGAGGCCTTCATGCGCAGACGCCGGTCCAGGGTGCACACCTTGCCGGGTATGGCGGCCAGTTCCGGATCAGAGCGCCTCATCCCCTCGTACATCATGTCCATCAGGTTGCCCTGGTTGCCCTCCTCCGCATCGTAGTCCTCCTTCACGAATATCAGCTTGCCATAGAGGCCGTAGACATCGCAGATGCCATGCTCGCCATGCTGCGAGGTGTTCCCGGCTGAGGTTCCCGAGCCCGATGCACTGGCTCCTCCTGCTCCTCCTCCTCCTGCACCTCCTGCGCCGCCAGCTGCTGCAGTGGCTCCCAGGCCACGAGGCAAAGTCTTAGACATCCTATTGGGATCGTCGCGGAAGCGCTTGCGGTGGAACGCCGGCGAATTGGCCAGCGAGGCGCGTATCTTGGCCGTGAAGCTCTGGTCCAGCGAGTTCTGCTTGTCCAGCTTGGAGCTGCGCGGCGACGAGGCCGCCGAATCCGCTCCGGGACTACTGCTGCTGGCCACCACCGCCGCCACCTCATCCTTGGCCAGATCGCGTCGCAGCACCACGGCACCGTCGTCCAGCTCCTGGATCTTGGGATCCGCATCGATGGCCGGCAGCTGGAGGTCGTCGCCCATGCTGGGCACCAAGGGAGCCACGCCCACGGGCGGCGGCTTGTAGGCGGGATAGACCTTCGGGATGAGCGGCAGCAGGAAGGTGATGGGGCCGAAGTGCGCATGGCAGGACATGTTGATGCCGCCACTGATGATGGGCACACCCTCGAGTCGGGGCAGCGGAATGGTCACCGCAATGCCCACATTGGTGCCCACCCAGAGCAGTCCCTTGCAGGCCATCAAGGCGGTCACATACACCGAACTGTTGTTCAGCGGCTGCTCCTTCTTGCCATCGTGCCGCAGGACACTGGAGGCGATGTTGATGTCCTGCAGATGCTTGAACGTCTCCGTGTGGTAGAGGCACAGCATCGTCGAGTTCTTCAGCGAGATCCACAGGCCGATGCCCGAGTGGGCCATCAGGTTCACCTGCTGGCTGGCCCCGTGCTGCACCTCGAAGCTCCGCTGGATCTCGCCGTTCAGGGCGTTCATCACGTACACCCGGTTGCCGCACGAGGCGTAGATGCACATGTTGATGGGCAGCAGGCTGGGCACTGCCAAGTCGGAGTCGCCTAGCTTGATGGTCTGCGGGTCGCGCAATTGCCACACGCCGTCGTTGCCGCGACGGAATATCAACACGGTGGCCCCCGAAAGAGCCACGTAGACCGCATCGAAATGGTAGAGGATCCGCTGCACTGCACCCGGCACCGAGTAGCTGCCCAGCTGCTCCTCCTGCTCCGGATTTCGGGCCGAGTAGACCAGGATCTTGCGACTATCCGTGCCCAGCCACACCAGATCGCCCAGCAGACTGGCCGGCTCGTCGCGCGTCCTCAATTGATCCAATCCCTTGACAAACTCCAGCGCAGAGATCTGCGTCTCGAAGAGATCGAAGGCGCCGGCCTCGCGAAGATTGCCCGCCTGCTGGGGATGTTGGGCCAGGACGGTGATGTGCGAGGAGGTTCCATCGCTGCTGCACATCCACAGGTAGTTCAGCTGCTTGTGCCGGCGTCGCGCATTCCCGCTCTGTTTGGTGTCATTGGCGATGCTGTAGTAGCATCCACAGCGCACCTGGAAATTAAGGACATGGATTATAGATACATGCGATTGAAACAAAGATCTGGAGGGGGAAACCCACCTCGGTTTGATGCTGTGACTTGTAGACAGGCATCGCCTTGACAAAGAGCGGCATCTTGCGCGACTGCTTCTGCTGGACGGCCTCCTGCAGCTGCAGCTGCTCCTGCGTCTGGCGGGGATCCCCCGCTCCCGCGTGCGGATGCTGCTGCGGATGGTGATGATGGTGGGGATGGTGGTGGTGGGCGGACTGCGGATGGGAGCCACCCCGCTCCCAGGCCGGCGAATTGTTCGGATCGAGGGCCAGCTGGGCCAGACGCAGCTCCGTGATCCACTCCTTCTTCACCGCCGGCGTCTGCGTCTGGAATGTGAAGGTCTCCTCCTTGCCGGACTTGTGGCGTCCGGTTAGCTGCAGGCAGCAGGAGTCCACCCAGGCCATCTCCTCGTCCTTGCGCTGGATGGAGCCCTGGATGAGGTTGAGCACGTTGCGCGTCGTGTTGGCGTTCAGCTCCTTGTAGCTGCCCTTCAGGCTGCACACCAGATCCTGGATGCGGGAGATCACCTCGTAGTCATACATCAGCGTGCTCATCTCGCTGCACAAATTGTCGGCCCCGTTGGTCAGCTGGGCGGCCGGGGAGCTGTGCGGGTCTCCGAATCCGGACAGGCCGGTGGAGCCACCTCCCCCACCTCCTCCTCCGTATCCCGGCAGCGTGCTGTTGGCATAGGGACTGCCGTTGGCGCCACTGCTGCCATTCGACTTCAAGCTGCCGCCGCGATTGAGACCTGCAAATTGTACATTAAAGAGTTAATAATAATATTAAGAATGAACAACAATCCACGATTCACGATCCTTACCCGCTGTGAGGATCCTCGACAGCGTGGCGGAGGTGCTGTTGTCGACGATCTCGACATCGTTGACCGGGAACATCCACTTGAAGGTGAGCTTCTCGGTGGCCCCAAAGTCGTGCGACTGCTTGGGCGCCACCGACACGCAGATGACCTTGTCGTTGAGCAGGAGCAGCCGGCGCTGCTTGCACTTGACAATGAAGCCGGCCTGGTTGAACTCCATGTGGGTGACGTTGTCCTCGCGGAGTAAGTACCTCGGCCGGTGGCCGCCGGCGGAGTCGCTGACACTAACGCTGCTCAGGCTGAGGGATCGGGCATTGAAGGTGCCCGAGATGTGGCCGAGCATCTCCTTGAAGGCCTGATACTGCTCCGCCTCCCGCTTGCTCTCGTTGAGCAGCTCCGCCAGGAGTTCCAGCTGCGAGAGGGCCAGCTGCAGGGACATCCGGTCGTGGTGGCCCTGCGGCGTGTACTTGAGCAGGTCCTGCAGGAAGAGGATGAACTGGGGGAAACGCTGCACCGGCTTCACCATCAATCCGAAGAACGACAGGCGGTCGTGGGCGCTGATCTGCTTGACCTTGAAGAAGTCGGCCAGCGCCGACTTGCGCTTCTCCTCCATCTTGGCCAGCTCCATGGCCGCCGAGAAGTTGTTGATGAAACCGGAGTAGATCTCCAGCAGCTGCGGCTTCCCGAAGGCGCTCACAAAACAATCGCCGATCTTCTCGTCACGATCCCAATTCCGGACGCACTCCGCCAACGAGATCCGGAACAACTTGTGCGAATGCAGGATGTCCGGCAGACAATGGAACAGGGTGGCTATCTTCACCGGATTCAGCACCGGCGGACTGCACTCCTCCAGCGGTTTCTTGTAATCCTGCGGGATTAGAACAGCACACAATGGTCGTTAGTTCAGTTTTAGAAATGCATTTTAGAAGGAGTTACACCAGCCTGCAGTTTCTAAAATCCAATTTCCTGTTAGTCTTTGTTTTTATAAGTGTTCATGATTAAAAACTTTATCTCAAAATAAAAAGATTTTCATTTCAATTTAATTTGATCGTTTTTAATTTCCTAATTTTAAATATTCTTAAATTTGGCTGCAGTTGTATTCATTCCAAATTTAAATTTAATAAATTTATTGTCTTGTTTTTTTACTATTTATTTATTTTTATTTCAGGATTGGTGCAACACCTTTTATTTATTGGTTTACCAATCTCTTTTGCGCTGGATTTTCAATAGGTTTCTCACAGTTTTGGCTTAGATTTTAATCTGGGTTTTGTTTTACGAGTAATTACTTGTCTTGATTTTTCTAATTTTGTAACTACTTGTGGGTGAAATGATGATTTTGGGTTCAAATCGGGTGTGTGTGTGTTAGTTGGTTAGTGGGCGAGTAAGTGAGTGTGATTAGTTAGATAGTTGGTTGTTTTATGACGGTGAAATCGGCAGTTATGGCATTTTGGGAAGAGGATGGCATGTAAAGAGATCAAATGATTGGACATGAGATTAATATTAGTCGGTGGTTAAATGGGGTAACTACGGTTGTCTAACTGCAAGGGCATGCAGTGATGTTACGTAATCTACAAGAAATTCAGTAGATTATCTATTAACAAAACAAAATGATTTTATTTAATGGTGTAGTAGTATTAAATATCTAATTAAGACTAATTTTTTCTACATCTAGTTACACTAGAATTTTATTCACATTATCTCAACTTTTCGCAACCGGAACAAAAAACCCTATAACATATATATTTGTCTAACAAAATATCAGAGAATTTTCTACAAGTCTGAAGCAGATTTCCCGGTCATATAGAGTCATGAGCCTGAAGGACCTCAACCTGACGGAGGAGCAGATTCTGGAGACCCAGCAGCTTCTGAAGGATGGGGACAAGGAGGAGGAGCAGCAGCCGGATTGTGAGGAGTCCCTAAAGGGTGAGGCCATTGCCAAGGCTCTGGGCGATATTCAGGTGTATGTGGAACTGGGCAATGAGGAGGGCTTCCTGCAAATAAGGCCGCCACAGCTGCACAAGTTTCGGGTGACCTCGAGGGGAGTGGATTCGGGAGGATCGCAATCGAATATGTTCGATCGGGCCGACCCCAAGGAAATCGCTCGCTGGGATCTGAAAAAGGTGCACCACTTGGATCTCATTTCGAGCAAGGATGCCGAGGAATTTGGCAAAATTCAAACCGACGAAGTCACTGGCGAAGTGTACATGAAAGTGCCCCTCACTTTAAACATACTCGTCGATGACACCAAAATGACGCCCGATTTGGCCACGAAACGGATCACCGAAGAGGATGCCTACAAGGAGGAGACGGGACCGGGACATACCATCTACATGTACCACGAACTGAAGGGGCATCCCAGGAAGCTGCCACAAGCAGCGCTGGATCAGCAAAAACTGCTTCAGCAGGTCAGCAAGGACAACCAGGATGGCCAGGATGACCAGGATAAACAGGATAACCAGGACAGCCAGGATAACCAGGAAATTCAGGACAACCAAGATAGCCAGGATATCCAGAACTATCCGGATACCCAGAACAACCAGGATAACCAGGAAAACCAGGACAATCCGGACAATCAGGATAACCAGGACAATCAGGCGAGACAGGACAACCACGATTACCAGGACAACCAGGATGAGCCACTCGAACCGCCGGAGAATAAAGTGGATTGGGTCTACCACTTGCACAGTTTCGAAATACCCAGACTCAGCTTTCCCTTCGAACTCTCCTTCGACCCGGAGTTAGTGCGTCTGATGGGTGGCGAAACGAAACCGGAAACCGGAGATGAGTTATTAGAATCCGAAGAAGTCTCATCAGAGTCGAGAGAAGTGCCATCAGAGTCCGAAGAAGTGCCATCCGAATCCGGAGAAATGCCAACGGAAATCAGCACGGAGGAGGAGGAATCGGAAAATCCAGATCAAGACTTGAGTCTGGATCGGCAAGAGATCGACGATCTCCAAGAGTAGAGGGAATGGAAACCTAAGAGGCAACTAATTCGGCCAACTGCATTTCGAAGAATATCTTAAACTAAATTATATCTATCCTAATTTAACTTAGCTTATTTCAACCTAAAACGTAGACATCTCTAAGTTTGGTCCAATTCTCAACTAAACAAATATCCTAAATTTCCAAAGTTTCATTAAATTAAATAGGTAAAAATAAAATGTATATGATTGGCCAAAAAATATGAACTCTGGCAAAAAGTATGAACTGTATATGAAGCATGTTTAGTTCTACAATATAAAACAAAATTCCAGATCTAGTTGATTATTATGGAACGATTCTTGATTTAAGCTACTATATTTTATGGGGCTATGATCTAGGCCGTGCAGTGTTATTTAACATATATATTCTGATTTTGTAACCGATCAAGTGGCCATTATCCTAAGCACTCGTACTCACATTGACTAGTCGCTGCAGGGTGGCCACATACGAGTTCTCACTGTGCACAATGGCTGCCACAATGTGGCGCCTCTTCAGCTGCTGCTGGGACAATCCGGCGGGGGCGGGCGGCAACATGGGCACGATCAGCCGGTTGTGGGCGGTACGAGCGGTCCCGTTGGCCCGACTGCCCGGCGTCATCATCAGGTCCATGTCGAAGCGATTGGCGGTGGCCTCATCATCCTCCGACTGCAAGAAGGTGATACAAATGTTAAGTAAAGGTTGCTTTTCTTCATTGGAAACTCACCTCTGGCACTCCGGGCATCATTTTGCTGGCTCCCAAATTGGCCAACTTTTGTGGCGAGGCGGCGTCCAGCGCTGCTCCTTGGCCTAGTCCGCCGGTTCCTGCTGATCCCAAACCGGAGTTGGCTTTGCCCGTGCTCGGCGAATTCCCAGAACCCGAATCGGGCGTATCAAAACTGGAGGCGGTGGAGTGGCGACCATCGCGTCCTCCCACATCGTACTGATGCGAGGAGCCGCGCCTGATGGAGAACCAGCGGGACAGGCGGCCACCGGGCGATTCACCCGGAGTGGTGGCCTCCTCCCGCTGGGAGCCACCTGCTCCTCCTCCTCCGCCACTCGATGGCATCGTGCAGGCACTGGCCCTGCGCATAATCATGTTGCTGGCGGCGGCGTTATTGTTCTCAGTGGACGATGATCCTGGTCCAGATGTGGATGCTGTGGCGGATGCGGAACCTGTTGCGCTTCCGGTGGCGGCCGTGCGCCATTTGTCAAACGACAAATGCTGCTTGGCCTTGTTGAAGGTGGAACGCAATTGCGAATTGCGTTGGTTGCCGGCACTTAGCGAACTCACGCTGCTGCTGGTCTGCTCCTCCTCGGTGAGAACCGCCTCCTCCTCCTCCTGCTCCTTGTCTTTGTCCCGCTCCTGTTCCCTCTCTCTTTCCCGGTCGAGATTCCTATCCCGATCGCGGCAGGGGGATTTGGTGTCCCGGTCGCTGCTGCTGCCGCAGCTGCTGCTGCTGCCAACGCCAACACCAACGGCAGCCTGGCCACCGTTGGCGCTGAAGCTTCCGCCGGCAATTGTGGCTGCGCTGCAGCCCGCTCCCTCCCGCTGATCCCTCTGATCCCGCTGATCCCTCTGATCCCGCTCCCGCTGCTCGGCAATCCGCCGACTGAACGCACTATGCAGCTGGGCGGTGGTGATGCTGGCACTGGACGGCGGCGATCCAATGAAGGAGCTCTGCTGCTGATGCTGGTGGTGGTGCTGCTGGCGATGACTGAGGTGCGAGTGGTGCTGGTGGTGCGAGTGGTGCGTGTGGTGGTGGTGCGGCTCGTCCAAGGTGTCCTCCCATGAGCCGGAGTTCAGTTTGTGTTCATCTGTAAAAGGCAAACACAATACAACATATGATTAGTATAAAACAGATCAATTAAAAAAAACAATACAAATAATATATTATTTCCTTGTTTAAAAAAGTCGAATCAATCATTATAATTAACATCTTAGATGGTCATTTCCCAAAAGTCCATATTTTAAAGAGCATAAATTGGCTTCAAGCCGACAGTAGCCAGAATGGTCCACAAAGTTAAAACCTCATAGAACTAACAAGGAAATCTTCAATCGTTATAAATCTCATTTTGTTTACTAGTTTCTTTGATTTGCTGATGCAAAATCCTGTTTTCTGAGTTCCGAGCACTCCAATAAATAGATGACATTCAATACTTGGACATTCCCTGGGTGACGTAATTCCCCCAAAAGCATTACCAATTATGTGGCGTTGGCCAAGTGAGTTAATTGCCAGCAATTGTGGGCCATATGCAGATGAAGTCGGTGAATAACAGCAGCACAAACAGGATTTGGCCATGGCCGTCATGTCTCCATTCGCGATTACCGCCAATTTCAGCGGCGTGGGACTGGGATTGCGACTGGAAATGGGGGACTGGAAAAGTGGCAAGGGGGAAGGGGGGTGGGCATCAAAGCCAGAAAAGCCGCCAATTCTGGCCAAGACTCATTCTGGCATCGTGTGGGTTACTCGCCAAGTGGCCATGGCCAGAAAGCCAGCAGCAACTCCCACACTGCGCCACGTACTCCGGCACTCAGCCACTCAGCTACTCAGACTCGGCAGACCCACACCACTCCGCCAGAACCATGGCATCGGAGCCAGCAGAACGGCATTAGAGAGACAACTGTCAGGCCCAAGGAATGCACTGCGAGAAACGGTGAGCTATTGTGGTAAATACAAACTGTAATAGACAAGAACGGATGTTCTTGACCACTCTTTTCACACAACTCCCAACATTCTGCACTTCGCATGGTCACACTAATGGATTCAGTGTGGCCAATTGATTGAAATAAGCAAAGCGAAAGCAAGCGATTATATTAGCTTAAAGATGTATTAAAAATGTATGTGTCTTTAAATATAATTTTAACTATTAAGGCTTTTTCTGGCAGTGCACTCAGAAGCCAAGCTCTAAACAAACATTAGGATGGCGATTTCGATTCCGATTGAGATTCAGATGGAGAAACACAGCAATGGCCGCAGAAACAAAGCAGATTCGAGACAAACTCGATGTCATGTTCACGACCATTAATCATCCAGTGGACGGCGGCGGAATGGGGATGTGGTGACAAGTCGGGTTCAGTTAGCTGTGATAATTGCAAATTCAGCTCAGTCCATCGGTTTGCCGCCCACATCCCACCCCAATACCCCCTCTGTTTAATCCCCTTTCAAATGTGTGAAAAAGGAAAAACCAAAACAAAAATAAAAGAAATAAAAGGAAATAAAAGGGGAAGGGAAAAATGTGTAAATATTTTGCGCAAAATGTGAAAACATCTTCAAAATTACATTATATATACGGCCCAAAAAAAGGGAGACAAATTTTGCTTTTACAAAATTGAGTTTGTGTAACTTTTGAGGAGGCGGGGGCGGAAACTCGCTTTTTACATATTGAAAAGAGCAGTGGAAAATGGAGGGCGGGGGGCGTGGCAAGGTACCGTTTAAGTTGATTGTTGGCAAACATATTTTCCTTCGTCTTTTTTTTTTTTTTGCGTACACTTGGTTTAACATAATCTGTAAGCACGCAAATGCGGCCGAGGGAGAGTTTATTAATTAATCTTAAATAACTTTGAAAGAGGAGGAGGAGGTGATATGCAAAATAAGGAAGTATGAATATTTTAATGCACTGGAAGAAAATGGGTATGATACAAAAATGTATAAAAAAAAAACACGAAAAATAATGAAATGTTATCAAATAAAAATAATTAATAACTTAAACGAAGCAATTTAATAAATTTTAACGAAGAAAAAAACCCATTAATGTGTAAGATGTTTTGTTGTTCTTTTTTTTCGGTATGCGCATTTGAACACTATAATTTATGTAAATAAATCAATTTGGGATAAAAATGTATTTGGGACACTGACACACATTTCCCGCATTCTCGCCATTTTCTCATCCTTATTTTCGACAACTCCCACGCACACGCATCGAAATCTCCATAGTTGCCGTTTATGTAATTTATTTACTTCGTTTTCGGATTTCGATTTTGTTTGGCCTGTTACGACATCACGTATACGCACTGCTGGCTCATTAATTATCATCACGGCAATGTGCAACAGTTAACGGAAACCGAAAAACAAACTCCTGCCATGGCACGCAAATAACGAAAAAAAAAAAGAAGCAGAAACCCCTTTGGGTGCATCTAAGCCACCTCCGCGACTTTTTGCATAATGGAAAATGATTGTGAAAAATTAATCATACGCCATGTGAGCCCGCGGGGGAGTCTCCCGAAAAATCGCGATTCTCCCATGCAATATTTTCGGCGTGTTTCGTTTTGTTTACCTTACATTGGCACAACTATTGCCTTTGGTCCATCAGTCAGTCATTCAGTCAGTCAGTCACCGAGTTATTCATTCGTTCACTTATTCATTCCATTCGGTACCAATTGCCGCGAGTGATTAATGAGCCACTCATTAATGCCAATGCAGAATGCTCGCAACAAAGAAATCTCTGCAAATGCTAATGCTCACTTAAATTATACAAATTACAAACATCCACACGTTCCCATATCTGTTTGTTCTTTATTGTTTTGCCAACTCATTTCACGCCCACAGGGGAGCACAGAGCAACCAGAAACAGACCTCAAACAGTCATAGAAACAAAGTCAGGCGTATCCGAGTCCATTGCTAATTGAAATGACAAACCACAAAGACTGTGTGGTTCACAGCCTCCATGGGTCAAAGTCTCCGAATACCCTGGCTAAAACAGAAAACATATGGCACCAAGTCAATGGTAGTTTAAAACAAATAACCTAGCCTTTATTGGACTGATCAAAGCAGACTTAATAAAATAAGAGTCTGCTAAGCCTCCGACATTTATTATAAATATATAATAACACAGCTAAAACCTCACCGCACAATGAATTACAAAGTTTAATGTATTACCCCATATTTAGCAAGTCAAACTTTGTTTAAAACAAATATGCCAGCTTCGTTTACTAAATCACTTTATCCACTCGTTTCAATGCCAGTCAAGGGAATTTATAAAAGTTTTTTACCTGAAAACCATTTGCTTGTTGCCGGACCAAGTTTCACATTTTAATCAAATTATTTGCAACTTTTAGGGAATGCACTTTACTGAATTCAGGTTTGGTAATTAAACAAGGAATATTTAGTTTTTAATAAACAGAAAAAGGAATAAGGTAAAATAGTTGGTTCATGAATCACTGCACTTTTCAATTCAATTGCAATAAAATCGTTTCTTGCTCATAAATTAAACCCGATCTAGTCCAACGTATATTAAGATTTAATTACTGCGGGAAAATGCGAAACGTTGTGCCCAAAAATACCTCGTAAAGTTCTGGCCAATTTGGAAAGCCCCCCAAGTCAAGGGTATTGCAGCTGCAAGAAAACATTCGAGTCTCAGTTGGCGCTGCATTTGATGTGCCCTTCTGGCCCGAGATGGTTCATAAATATTTCAGTCCAGCGCAGAATGCAGGCCAGAATGGTTAAGTAGCTGGAAACTAGTCACCTGCTGTTACGCCCTTTCTCCCGCCGTTTCTCCGTTTCTCCGATTCTCCATTTCTCCAGAGGGGTTCTAATGAGGCCACAAGGCTTCGTGCGACTCTCAGCCACGAGTTGCAAAGTAATTTCGAGTGTGTCTGAAATTGAGCAGCGGGCAGCCAACGTTTCCCCCTTTTTCCCCGCCCCTGCCTCTGCCCCTCCCACTAATTTCCTCCCACACTGCTCAGCCCCGCCCACCTCTTTCTACTTTGCACCCGAGGCAAAAGTATGGCTCAGGGGCAGAAATTCAGCAAAGTTAGCAAGTTTTCTAAGCCAGCTGCAGGGAAAAGCTGGTAGCCAAAGGAGTTTAAAGAGAGGCGAGGAAAAAAGGGGTTACACAAAAAAAAAATATATTTAAAAACAGCTAAAAATGGAAAGTGGTCACTAAGACCTTTACGTATTTAGTGTTTAATAATAGCTTTTAAACTTGATTTCCGTAATTTTCTTTTAGCATTTAACATTTTCTGCAATTTGCAAGGTCATACTCCGCATATTGGATATTGAAAAAGTCTGCCCAGCTGATAACAAGAAGTAAAATCCAACGGATTTAAGGTAACCCTGCAATAAATCATTTTTTTTTTATTACAAACCATAAATAAAAGGTTGTAGCCTTTTCTCGGTGTAAATGTGGAAGAAGATGCTTGCGGAAGCTCATTACGCGCACCGCCAAAAGGAAAATCCCAAAATCGTAGGAGACAAGGCAAGGGAATCTCACATATGGATATATTGCAAAAACCCCTTCCATTTTACCGCCTCCACCTCCATTTACAACACACGAGGCCATAATAAGTGTGGAAATTGCTTTCTATTTGCAATTTTGATGCTCAGGACCAAGAGGAAAACGAGAACAGGCTGAGTGAAAAGTAGGGCGGCGAAAATAGAGGAGAATATGGGAGGGAAAGTCAAAGTAGCGCGTGCCTTTGTCATAAACTAATTATTATAATGTAAATCACACACGCAGAGCCCACTTCTAACGGCAAACCAGCCTCCAGTCCAAACATCGGACGGATGATAATGAGCTAATCCTGCATATTCATGAGCGGAAGCAGGTGATAATAAGGGGGCGGACCAGGCGGAAGTGCTAAAGAAGTGCTGGATTAAGACGGCGAAATTCTTCAGGTGCACTGTGCGAAATTACCCCGTAACTGGGTTAGCCATTATCAAATCGAAATACATTATTGCTCCTTTTTTTAGTTTTTCCAATTCAAAAATTAAAACTTCATTTTAAAATGTGATTTTACATTCTCAATATGAAGTTTTAAATACTCAATAAATTTTAAAACACATCTAAAAGACTTAAACTTTTTTATGAATATTTTA